AGGTGTAAGAAATTAAACTTAACAAATTTTAGTTAGCTATTTTCTCAAAGGAAGTATTTGTGTATATCTAAGAGTGCAGATACTTGTAGTTTTTTTTTTTCCCTGATTGCTGGTGCAAAGGCTGGTGACAGAGAAAATGATGAATAAAACCTTACATCCTGAATGTTTTTAAATTGCATCATGATTTGGGAAAAGATTCCTTAGTTTTTAGATTGATTTTTAGAGTAGATATTGTCTGTTTTCACCCCTGTAACTTCAGTGCATCTACGTTTTTCATGCTGAACCTGCTACTGAAAAAATAATGCTGACTTTTGTATTACCAGGACTTTACCAATTCGTAGGGCTTGTTGTCATTACATAGCTTCTGAGGGGATAGTGCTTTTAAAGGTGGTTGAGCTAAAACTTGATCCACCAGCATTTGAGTGGTGGAAGACACTTAAGCAATACCTGTATAAGGACATTGTTATTAGTTCAAGTATTTCTACCGGAACGCCTCATTTTGGGGAGACTTATGAGTTTTAATCTAAATGTATTCTGCAGGTGTAAAAAATTCTAGGTTTCATGATCCAAAACAATCATTTGGTACTTCTCCCTGCAAAACACAGATCATGCATTTATCTTAGTGATACCACTTGTTGCACTCTAGTTTGAAGAATTCCCTTTCTTGCCTAAAAGGATCCTGTTTTCTGGTGATTTCTTCATCCTTGAGCTGGTCAGAGCTTCTCAGTGGGAAACAGCTGCTTTCCACCAGAAGGCTAAATGTGTTTCAGTGGTGGATGAAGCACTCCTTTGTAAACAGTTTGTCAGTGCTCTTAAAATCCATGAACAGAAAAGTTACTTGCAGTGTGATTGTGATGTTTTAAGTTTGATGCCAAAAGTATGATGCGTTCTAGCTTGAACATTTTATTTTTAAAAGGCTACTTTTTCTCTGCACTTGGTAAAAATCCGTCCCACTGCATCAAACAGCCGAGAAGTGCAAGTAAGCACTTTGTGAAGCTCTATAAGGCACCAAAGGGATGACTGGTGTGTTCACAGAGTGTGTAGCACAGGGTCAGGTTGATGTGTGTGAGTGACACCTGGGAGCCAGGTTTGTCCCAGCTGCCTGAGGGGCTTGTGTGTGCCCTTATGTACCCAACAGCACAAAGGTAAAGAATCTGTACGTGTTGCATTTCTTGTCTGTGAGAACACAAGGGGCACATGTAAGTCTATCTGTATAGATATACGAACTCTGAATTGATGAAATAGGAGCCAAAACTCACATAATTACTTTTCAGACCAAAAGAAGAATTAAGGAGGACAGGGTGTAAGTTAAATTATGGGACTGCCATTGGAGTCACTTGAGAGTTTTGGGAAACAGCTCCTTTGAGAAGTTTCTTTTGGGAACCACTTTTAATATTATTTACTTGGTAATAAAGTGTAAATAGGAAAAGTAGGCAGGAAAACAGTAAGAAGGTTCCAGTTTTAGTGTTATCACTTTGTTTTAAGCTTGTAGGGAAGTAGGCATGTTTGATGAACTTGAGTGACTTTTTAACAAGCTCCCTGAATAAGGCAGCTGCTCGTCAGTACACTGTAGTGTTCACCTGAGCTGCCACACGAAGAGTGACACCAGGCAGGTGGTTAACTTCTTACTCACCCTGTTTCAGATGGCACACGCCTTGTAAGCCTCTGTCTGCACATCTCTCCCTCTGCCCATGTACGTATGTAATGCAACACCTCTGTATCACACTGTGCTTTGTCATGTGCACATGGGTAGTGCCCTGAGCCTCCTGATCTTCAGGTAATGTTGATAAAGTAAACTAAAAAGTAATCAGAATTAGAGTGTTACATAACAACCTGTCCTTCAGTTAGGAAGGCTGTGTAGGGTCAGAAACAGGAACGGCTGAAGAATAAATCCTGGTTCAGGTTTTAGTTTCTGCTTTGCTCTGCTTCATTCAGAAGAAGACAGTCGCTTCACCCTGTAGAAGACAGTCACTTCATCCCTGTGCTGGCAAAAACTCCATGTTCCATATGTCTAGCCTGATTAGGACACAGGCTGAAATTCTGTTTTTTTTCTGTGCTGGATGAGATTGTGGGTCTGAAGTCTGGTCCTTATCTCCTAAAAACAGTCAGAAAAGACAATTTAAGGATTCCTTACCTGCTTTGAGTTATACAGGACTGAGAAAACCTAGCCCTTCCTCTTCCTCTCTTCTCTCTTTTTTTTTTCCTATTCTATTATCATTCTGACATGATAATTAATATGAAATACTACCTTACTAAGGGACCACTGAAGTGTCTTACTTGATAATGAAACTTAGAACCTGTGACTGCTAAATTCAATAGCAGATTTTTCTTGTCCTGACAAAGTCTGTTTGGGCTTTTTCTGCTTGGATGTACTTTGATGAACGCACAGCAGAGCTTATTTTCAGTATTTTTCTCAGTGAGAGTCCCGGATGAGAGGGCATTTCTGCAGTGTCTAGATTACATGTAATGTTAAAACAGCACATATTAGGCAAAAAGTGGTTTAATGGTGTATTCATTGTTTTAAGATGACTGCTACATTTCTGTTAATAAGAGGAGCAATGAAGAATGACCTCTAAGTACTCCAAATTAATAGTAACAGATAAGTAATTTTTTTATCTTTCCATATTTTTACTTAGTTTTGGGGCTTTTTTAAAAGGGATCCTTGAGCTGATGTAACCTTAAAATGGGAAGTACTTCATTAACAGTCTAAAATGAGCTCGTTGTTTGTCCTAAATCGAGACACATTTTTCTTCAAACACTAAAAATTGATAACAGGTCATAAATCAGTCACCTCAAACACTTGGATCTTGCCCTGGGAGTATTTTATGTCTGCTTCTGTCTTATTTGTTGTCTTGAAACAATGGTTTAAGGAGAAGAAAACATATAATTGCTCTGTAATTTCTGCACTAAAATGTTTTCTTTTGAAGTAGCTCCACTTAGCCTGTAAAAATACTTCTGGGTCTTAGTCAAGCATTTAGTACAATTTAAAACTGCAATACTAAATTTCATTGGTTGGACTTTTTATTAGATAAGGTAGAAATGAAAGCAGCAGGCAATTTAATTAGCAGTAATTTTTCTGGGCAAGTCATTACTTTGATGAACTTCAGAGCAATGTTTATGGCTCCTAATTAACCATGTTAGTCATTTGATTGAATAATCACTTTGGAAATGTTTCTACAATTTGATTAGAGTCTGACCCACTCTGATAGTCATAAATTAACTGATAGCACTTTAGGATAACAAGACTCTAGTTACTTTACGAGAAATAAACTCTTCCTTGCTGTATTTTTCAGTCTTCTGTGGGCTGTTTAAGCACAAGCTAACCAGAAGATTAAGTAATGTTGGTACAAACAATGCTTGCCTTAAAGAGACTCCAGATGTTAATTATACTTGACTTAGGAGCTTGGGGGATGAAACCCTGAATTGGCTAAGAAGACAACTTCTTGAATGCGTGCATAATTCTTTATTTCGTATACTCTGTTGTATCGCTCTGCAAGAGTGGAGTTCATGAGTCAAAAAGAGCTTTGCTGCCAATACTAGAGAATTTTTACCTAAAATAGAAAATAGCATCTGTTTCAGTTCTACAACTTCCTCTTTTTTACGTAGATTTTTCCATTCTCCTTAAAATTCAATCTTCTTGGAAACATGAATGATTCCTTGCAGGTGAACCACTGCTTGTAGCCTTGACTTCTAGTCTGTAGAGCTATACTTGACTCGGGTGATCACTGAGTCACTGATTCCTGTGGTTGCTCAGAATAGCTGCCTGAGACACTGGAGATTGTCAAAGCCTGAGGAGGCAGGCACTGAGTGTTTCATGGAGAGAGGAGGTAATGAGGAGTTTGGCACAGATGTGCAAGAGAGACCGTGGGCTGTTAGAGGAAACTTTTTATTACTGCCCTGTGTTTCACTGGTTTTGTGAAGTCAGTGTAAAACCTCATTTTCTTATCCTGGCAGATCTTTGATACTCATCACCAGTCAGTGAACAGTGAAATTTGGAATCACAGTCTGAAAGGGTCTGTAGGCAGTGTTGGAAAAATGATGTCTGCTCTTTCGACCTCTGTTTGCATCTCTTTAAGAGTTACAAGTTACTGGTAACAGATTGCATAGCTTAGGGTAGGAGTTTATCATAAGATCAAATAGACTTTGTTAAGCAAAACTATTGATATCCAAAAAGTGGGTTAAACCTGGTCTAGAAGGGCAGACTGTTTGCAACTCCCTGTGCACAGGATGTGGCTACCTGGGGACAGTGCAAGACACGGGAAAGAAACACCATTTTCATTAGTTCTGTTTGATTTTTCTCATTCTTCTTGCAGATTTGAGTAGAGGTGGAGAATAGCAAATAAATATCAGTATTACTTAGAATATGCGCAGTAATTTTTTGGGGCAAGGTGTCATTTTTGTTTGAGGATGTGCAAGTGGAGAGTGACATAGATACATCTAAATTCGTAGATAAAATGCTTAGCAATCACAGAAAATTTCATTAACCCTTCAAATCCTTAACCGGAGTCTAAAAAGCAATATCCTAATCTAAATTCACTTTGACATGCCTTGAGTTAATGCAGAGTTTATAAGTCTCCAGTGTGATTGGCAGGCTTTTCAGTATAGTTGATTAAAAATGTTGAGTTGAATTAGTTACAAAGATAGATATACAAGCACAGGGTTTAAAATATTTGTGGTCTCTGGTGTGGATTTTTTGGTCTGCGAATGGTCTAAAGTGAAATTGCCATGGGAGTCAACTTTTTAGCAAAGTTTATTAGAAAAGGGTTTGAGTTCAAGTGCCTATGTTAGATAGGGTCTAGGATCCTCATATCGTGATTTTCTCTATCACCATGCCTTGTGTGTGCTGTTCTGAAATTCTGACTGATTGTTGACAGGTTCCTTCTCACTGTAACTTGCATTCTTTTTTGTTGCTCTTCTGCCTGCAGCCTGTCTCATTGATAACCTGCACACTTTTAATTCCAGACAGTCTTTTGACTTGCATTGTCGTGTTCTCCTTTCAGAAGTGCCTAGCTGCCACTCCATTTACATGAGGCAAGAAGGCTTCCTGGCTCACCCAAACAGAACAGAAGTTAAGTTTTCTATTATGTATCACTTCTGTATGAGAGAAATTTAAAAAATTAAAAAGCTTGGGGATTTGGGGTTCACTGGTTTAATTCTGCTTCTGGGAAGACTCACATCATCTTTTGTTCCCTTTCCAGTCTTGAGTTTCTGATGCACTGATTTTTTAGTAGCTTCTTTTAGTGCCATGGGTTGATCAGGATAGAAGCAATTATATTATGAACTTACTCTGCTTTTAAAGGCCTCTAGCAGTTGAAAGGAAGAGATGCTTAAAAATTTCCATTTCAGCCATTCTGCTCAAGTGATATTTTCCAGGCTGTTGGTGTGACAGGCTTGGTTTAACTGTCTTAAGTAATCCATTTTATACTTTAAATTCAGTGGAAGTTTTTTGCTTTTTCTTTTGTTATTATTTTTGCAATATTTTGTTGCATTTTAGGCTCAAAATTGAGATTAGTACCAAACCGCCCTCCCAGTGATTTCAGTAGGGCAGAGCTTAGGTAATTGTCAAAATTAATAATTCTGAGTACAAGCACTTTATATGTATTAAAAATAAGAAGACCAACAGAAGTAAGACCACTGAAAGAGAAGTTATACCCTCCACTCCCCTGTTTTTGTGTACCTTTCTTGTCAATATATTATTTTTGCTTGTTTGTTTAGGGTTTATTTGTTTTTCTTCCAAGAGGCAAATTTCACAAACTTGAGGAATTTTTTTTTGAGATTGATGAGAATCCAGATAGATGTGTGACTCAGAGCCTTCTAGTAAGACTTCATTCACTAGTGAAAAGACATAACTGGAAAGATAACACATCTGGCTAAAAGCCCACCTGCTTCTGGGGTGGAATAAAGGCAGAAAAAAAGAAATAGAAGGTATTGTCAAATAAGAAAGGTCAAACAGGAGATGTAAATTTCTAACAGTCTTGGTATTTGAAATTATGTGAAGTATAGAAGCTTGATAAGGGAGTTGAAAGACATAAGGGAAAAATCCACACAATGCAGGGCTAATGGCAACAGGTTTTGAGCTTTGATCATTGCACAGATAGGGGAAAACCAATTTTAGCCATGTTATGCACTCGTAAGAGGTTGGTGGTGGCAAAATTGTTATGAATGACATAGAAAATCAGTGATGTTTGCTAAATATTTGTTTTCTGTATTTGAAAATCAGTCAACATGATTTTATGGAATAAAGGTCATGTCAAATCTGATTCTATTCTTTGCTGAGATTAAAAGTTTGATTGATAAAGATGCTTGTATCATATAGTTAGACTTTCTATGGCATTCAGTTTGCCTCTGCATTACATTCTGATTAAGAAGTTAGCACAAAGCAATATCAATAAAGTACACATTAAATACATTAAGACCTGGCCAACTGACAGATCTAGAAGTGGCTGTCACTGAGCAATCATCTCTGAATGGATTGTTTCTGTTATAGTTCTGTAGGAATTGATATCAGGAGTGTTGCTATTCAACATTTTCAGTAAAGATACGGAACAAAGTTAATAGATAACTTTATGGCACAAAGATAGAGTGGTAAATAACAGGCAGGACGGGGCAGTCACACAAAGCATTTTGAATTGTTTGGTAATCTGGGCACATTAAACAAAATGGTTTTTTAATATGCAATTTTAGGCCTCTGGAATCGGGAAGCAGTATATTAGAAAAAATGATTTTGAGATGGGCCTCCCCCTCCTCAGGTTCACAGTGGGAGACCAGCCCAACTAAACACTGCAACCTTATGACGAAAAAACCTTCTGTAGTACTTACACAGTCAAAAGAAGGGTCAGAGAGTGGCAGGAGAGGAGGAGATGTTTTGTCTCACTAAGTAGCACTGGTGAGAGAGCACCAGTACTGGTATGCAGCACAGTTCTGATTAAGGGAAGCATTAACATAATAGGGAATAGTAGGAGTGTGTACAAAAGAGTGTGCTAGAAATGACTGCTGAGTTACAGAGAGTATCTTCTAATGAAAAAAAAATTTTACAAAATTATCCTAATTGGAAGAAACATCAAGGGCAGTGTGTGGTGGTGACTTCTGTGAGTGCGAGAAGGAAATGCCAAGTAGTACTTCTTTAGTCTCGCAGGGAGAAGACCCGCAGGAACTAATGGTTAAAAGTCAAAGCCATGCTAGTTCAAACAAAAACTGAGACAAACATTTTAGAACAAATCATAGAGAAAAATGGGTACTTCTTCATTTTTGCAGGTAGAGATTAACAGTCTTTTGGGAATACACGCATTAATTAAACACCCCTGTACTGAGGCCAAAATATTGTGATTGGACAATGTGTAAAGGATGTGGGATATTAATCTGATTCCTGGCATGATATCTTCTTTCTCCATGCATCTTTTATATAAACACCTCTCTCTTTTTAACTTACAGGCTGTATGTATGAAAAGGGACCTAGGCAGTTTTATGATGACACTTGCGTTGTTCCAGAGAAGTTTGACGGTATGTATGACACATCTCTCTTTTTCTTGTGTAGCGAGATGAAAACGAAAGAGATGAGGGACTTTTCTCTGTTGCTGATCAAAAAAGCCCAGTAACGTTCCAATTTAGGATTCCTTAACACACCGTTTGCGGTGTGCCCAACCAAAGCTGACCTTTGTCTCTTGAAACCAAAGTCTCCTCTTCAATAGGATGTCATTCGACTTTTACCAGCAAAAGATGCTGTATCCAGAGTTGTGGCAGAGGAGCTCAGTTCCTGTACTGTTAAAAAAGTAATAGGAGGATTTCCATTTCACTGATCATCACATAGCACTTGTTGTTTGAGATTTAATGAAAGCTGGTTTTATAATTTACAAATCAGCAGAGAAAGCAGCAAGTTTGGTTTAATTGAGGATTAAGCCTCTTGTCTAGCTGTCGCTGAAGGGATGAATAGTGGGGAGTGAGTGTATAGGGCATTTTTCGGTTTATGTCAATGTCTTTCCACTAGGTTAAATGCACTAGTGGTTTATTTTTCAGTGGGATTGATTACAAATCAATGCTCTTTTCACAACACTACCGATTACAACAGATTTTTTTTTTTAAGAGTAATTCTGACATCAATTAAAATGAATTGGTCCAAATTATCTTCAGTTACTCTGACGTAAAATCAGTTTCCTGGAGTAACTCAGTTGATTTCAGATTTATTTCATTATAAGCAAAGTAGATGGACACTGTATTTCTTGCCAGTTAACGCTGTTGGTCTGCAGCTTTGGGAAGTAATTTGGAGACGAGCTATTTAAATTTGCTAGAGTGGCTTTTTGTTAGTGTAGTGTAGTTTTGTTACTGTAGTGTTGTTAGTATAGCTTTTGTGTTAGTGTATTTATTTCTTTTAATAGTGCTTTATTTATTTTAGCAGGAAACATCAGATACTTCCTGATAAACCTGTGAACAACTCTCTGACCATAGCTAAAAGTAGAGCTGGAGAATTGGCATTTTTCTCCTGCTTTATTTTGTTTGTTTTCCCCTGAGAATCACTTATGGATTACAAAATTATTGCGTGTCTAGCAGCATTTGTTGTGTATGCTGAAGACATGGAGACTCTGAAATGAAAGTAACTCAAATAATTGCACATTCTTCAAACAGTATCACATGTATTTTGGGGTTAGTAAGACATAGATAATTTTAAACAATATTAAACCTAACAGAAAGTTGCTTAAGCCAGTATTGCATTGTCACTGCATCAACATATTCACTGAAAGGATGATTTATTGGAAGTCTGCTTTATACCCTGGCTTTGTAATATGAGCTTGGTTTTGGTTTGTTTTTTTTGGGGGGGGGGTTGGGGTTTTTGGGTTTTTTTGTGTTTTTATTTTTTGTGTGGTTTTTGTTTGTTTGGTTGGTTTGGGTTTGGGTTTTTTCTTTTTTTTTTAAAGCACATTGAGTCAGGGGCGCTTTTTTGCCCCCAGAAATGATTGTGGGTCTGATCTGTTTTGAGTACCAGTGGCAAATTCGTATTTACATTTATGAAAATGGAGATCAGACCCTCTAGTACAAGAAGTTAAAACTCTTCAGGAGTAGTATTTATCTATATCTTCCTTGAAAATCCTTTTGGTTTATTTGGGTTTTGTACATGGAGGGGAATGAAAATAACAAAGAAATACAAATAAAGTAAAAGAAATAAATGTTGGGAAATATTTGTGTGCTTGTGAAGCAAGCAGTCTGCTGCTAGCTTCTATGACTGTTCAGTGAGAGAACACCTTGTACTCTCTAGAAGATTGATGTCATGATGCAGATATGTGTGTTTATACTTATAGTGTGATGACTTTTGAGGAAAAAAATAGCAGATGTGTCATCATATTCTGACCAGTACAGCAAAAGTTGGATGAGCTCAGGACTAGTCTTGATGTTTCAGAAGTAGATTCTCAGCTGCTTTGTTTGAAATCAAAGATCGGCACAGGCAAAGAATCTGATCCTCTGTAATACTGCACTTGCTATTTGTGGATTGCTCAGCTATCATTAAAAGAAAAAAACCTGTCCTTGAAAAAGAAGACCTTTCAGGACTGGAACCCGAACCTCACATAAACCAAAAAACCTTGTGTTGATTTATTTGTTTTCCACAGCTATTGACTCAGTTTTCTTTCCTCATTACAAAAGGAAGTGCTCCATTTTTAATATTATTATTCTACCTTTCACTCCATGGAGCCATTCTGTAATGGCCATCAGAATATCCTAATGTGGTTGAATGTAAATTCCTGGCTTTCCATATTAAATGGATCACACTGTTTATTGGAGGGTATCACCGTTCTTGTAGTTGAAATGAGGAGTTTTACCAGTATATCAAGGATTGCAGTCATTGTGTGGGGCAAAAAATAGTCTGCTTCAATATCAAACCTTTCAGCTGTTGTTGTTTGCATGAGTGGTTTAGTATGAATATGATTTAAAAACAACAAAGACAGTAGGGATGTAGCAGGATGTTTTTTTCATTGGCAGTTTGTGGAACAGCTAGTAGAATGCTATTATTGCTTTTTTAAAAGATTACTCTAGACTTAAAATTTTAGAAAAATTAACTCACTGCTTTTTAGGGGAATACTAATTTAATATGTAGATATGAGGAAAAGTCATATGTGCTTATATGCAAGTTCAGTATGCCACAGAGGAACTCACACATCTGCAGGATTTACATGCCTGTACATAAAGCACATGCTGTATAAGTCCAAGTCAAATACTTGGTCACATTTTCCTTAGAAGCATTTGCATGCAAAAGAAGTTTCACTCAGTAGGGTTTTGCAGCTCTATGAAGCATACCTTACATTATCAAAACTGGAGTCTGTGCAAAGTATAGTACACAAACACAGTTCTTCACATATCAGAGTTGCTTCAAAAGTAGTCTATGCTCTTTAGGCAGAGGATATTACAAAGTGATTTGCAAGCGAGATTTGCATGTATCAAAAGTACATGGGAAGAGGCTTAGTGAGACTTCCATAAATCATGAATGAATTTATGTGCTTTTGAGTATATTCATATGTTACTGTAAGTCACCAGCAAACAGGGGAATGTTGCTGGCTGTTTCTTCCCTCTGTTTTATTAACCCTAATAACAGCTTTGCCAGTTTATCTGACAAAGTGAGTGATTGTGGTGATGCTTTTTGTGCAGTGCTTACCTGATACTGTTGTTCTGTGCAGGTGATGTCAAACAGGAGCCGGGCATGTACCGTGAAGGACCCACGTACCAACGGCGAGGCTCGCTTCAGCTGTGGCAGTTCTTGGTAGCTCTTCTTGATGACCCATCAAACTCTCACTTCATAGCATGGACTGGTCGAGGCATGGAATTCAAGCTGATTGAGCCAGAGGAGGTGGGTTAGGCATACAGCATGCCCTCACATCCACTGCCCCATCCTGCAAATTGAATTGTGCTCCTTTGGGCTTGGGCCTTATTTTTCTTCAGTATTTTGCTTCAGTAGCACTTTACAAGGGTGACAGGTGTGGTTAAGCACAGACTTGACTCCTAGTCCCACAAAATAATAAAAGTATTGCAAGTACTAGAGTTACAAAATACTTCACATTATTTGTGGTGCCCAGATTTTTCAGAGCCGCTTTATGGATAGAGCTATGTTCGAAAATCCTTTGAAAGCTTTTCCCTTAAAAGTCTTTCAACACCAAATATTCTTCAGTGTGAAGATGTGGGAACTTGGAGCTTTTAGGTTGTAGAGTGAAGTACCCCAAGTCTGACAGATGGCAAAGGAGAAGGTTAAGATTTTTAGGCAGTAATATCCTGTCAAAATTGCATAAATTTCTCTCTATTTAGGGTTTTCTTCAGAATCTTCCTGCTTATGTGTATCATTAGATTGTTTAGTCCATGCTTAGATTGTAGGCTTGCAAACACTCATGCACATGCATGGCATTCCTGAACCATGAAGGACTCATGGGATAGATAAAATTACTTGTGTTCATGAACATTTGCTGAAGCATGACTTAGTTCACTTGTGTGATAAAAAGGAATAAATTGAATGTTTTATTACATAAAAAGTTTTGGACTAGGTAACATTACATAACCTATCCTGTATTCTCAACAGTCATGGAAACTTGGAAGATCAGGTGTATGTGAATTTTTTACTGTAAAATTGATGTGGAGGATTTAATTAGGGTTGTCAAAAAGCAGTATCACTCTGCTTTACTTTTTTGCCCCTTGAATAGGGTTTGGTAGTAGAGGAGACCACAGCAAATTTTCTGACAGGATGCTCTCTGAGTGAGAACTGAGTAGGAATGTTTGGGGGTGTATGGCTGGTTCTGCGTTCCACCAGCTGTTTCTGCTGTTTGCCATCCATCTGCTGGTAAAAGCAATCTGAAAGCTTTCTTGCATTTTAGTTACATTGTGTGCTAACAGCTCTATGGGGATGATAGAGTAATTGGGGATGGATGTCCCCTGATAGGACTGATGTCCCTTTCCTTCCTGACGTGGTCTGGCTGAGGAGCAGGTTGCTGCAATGACCCCTGTGCTGGTTCTAGTTTGTCTGAGCATTCCCCACACTAGTGATAGGGCAGATCCTGGCATTGTGCATCTGAGGATTTGACCTCAGAACAGCCTGAGTTGATTTGATATTGAAACTTGCAAGTCTGCAGCCTTAGCAGGCTACATGGATTGCACGGTTGCGTGACCTGTCCCAGAATGGAGCGAAATCTTTGGAAAGGCTTTGGTTTTGGTGAATAACATATCTAATTTTCCCCCCATTCTCAGTCTCTGTATTTTCTACCCTCTTACTTTTGCCTATGTCCAAATTTTTTCAAGATGGAAGAGCTTTATTGAGAAATGGTTTCCAGCAGATGGTGCAAAAACTTAAGAGATTTTATTAGCTAAGGAAAGGAAAGTAGCAAAACAAAGTCCTAAGGTTTCCTTATTGTGTAATTCCCTGAAGAACTGGATATTCTAATTTAAGTTAAACAGATCATCTGCTTGTCTGGCTATGTAGAAGTTGCTTTGTTTTTGAGCAGCACTGCATCTGAGATCTGGAGGAGGCAGGATACTTGAAAGTTGCCTCACTCCTATGTAGTCTTGGGGATTACAAAGGAACCTAAGTTGTTTTCATTTGAATGTCAGGAATCTCTCAATTAAAATAAGAATAGCCTATAGGAAGTTGCACAGTTCTGTTGGTTGCCAAGTGTAAATTGAAGGGAAGTCAAAGAGCTTGTTGGTTCTGCTGTGGCAGGTTAGGATGTAAATGACATGACCTTTCCATCTCATTCTTTGCTGGAGGTTTGTTCCCTTGTAGAAAGGGTGACAACAAAAATGAATATGTATCAACTCCTGGAGTGCCATAGTTCATTCAGAAAGTAAGTGTGTGTGAACTATGGAGACTGAGAATTGGGTGTAGGTCCACTTATGCTGCCTTGTCGCAGGGACAGCAACCTTCAGCAGGAAGGTGGGGTGGAAGGGTAGAAGTCTGAATCCCTTCCACAGAGCAAGACTATGTAAATGCTATGCAGTTCTGGGACAGGAAGAGTTGCTCACCAAGACTCCTTCTGGACCTGCTTGCCTGTTTAGGAGTGTCAAAATACCACACAAAAAAATGGAGCATATTCTTAACCATTACTTTGTTGTAGTTATCTTTACTGTGTATTTATTTATTTTGCAAGCTTGTTATGTTGGGGACATTCAGGTCTCTGATTAATGCAGAAAAAAACTTGGAAGGAATAAACAAAGAATGATGCGGGCATGTGTTGTGAAGATGAATAGGTGAATCAAGGTTACGCATCTAGGTCAGATCTGCAGCTGGAATAAATTGACATGATTGGAGGTGTGTTTCAATACAGCTAAAACATAGCTGAAGTTAGCAGAGCCATGATAATTTACGTAAGCCTGAAAAGCTGCACCACTGAAAGGAAATAATACTTTTAAAAGAAATTTTAGAGATTATATGGAGATCGAAATCATGGAATTTGCTGTTGTTTAGTCCCCTTCAATACTCAGTGGTGTGTGTTGCCTATGGCTTGCATCAAAAAGTTCCAGACACCTATGGGAAAGTTTCGCAGAGCAGACTGCAGAGAAACTGCTTGACTGCTCTGTCCTTTTTCCTGAGCTGTATGCATATGCACCTCTCGAACGTTTTTATAAAATGTGCTTTAGAGAGTTCATCAGCTCTGACCGTTTTTTCCCTCTGGTGATGTGATAGTCATTTTTACAGACAGTAATTGAAATGTCATCAACAGCTGATTATAATTTCAGGTGGGGAATACGAAGTTGAGCTCTTTAAACAAAGGGTGTCTTTGTCCAGAACTATCTTTAGCAATAAAACAGGAAGCGTAAAGGCAAGTAGGAATCATAAATCAGAGCAAAAGGCATATAATTCTCTATGGAATGGTTTCCTAAGTTACTTGCAATTCACTTTTTATTGTTATTTTTAAGGGAAATTATACAACTGCAACCATGAAATTTCTATTCCATTCTTCATACCACCATATAGTTCTTCCAAACGATTACTCTGCCTCCTCAGATAATTCATTTTTTTTGCTGAAATAATGTTTGAGACTGGGAGTTGGCTTTTGACTTGTATCTCCTAATAATCTCAACATTGCTGTCATTCCAAGTACAGTCTGTATTAGTTCATGAACTAAGTGTTCATGTGCATGAATGTGTGTTTAATATAACTTAGTTTTCTGACAGCAAGGAAAAGACAGGAATAGTACAATTATCCATAGTATCAAACTAAAGATAAGTTTTCATCTTTTGTGAAAATTTTCTGGTGAAACTTGCTAAATATTTTTTGTCTGTCTTTGGCTTTATTTTTTCATTGGTTTCTTTATTAAAAAGCAAAAAAAAATCCTAACCCTCCACCACATTTGCAAATAAGTAAGCTGGTTTCAGGTTTAATGGTGATGTGTCTCCAATTGAAAATCATAGTATTACATGGGAAATTCAGGTCATGGCAACCTTTTCTCTTATTTGTTGCACCTGCAGGGTTCTCCCTCCTGCATCCCCAAATAAAGTATCTGATGATAAGATCTGCTTGTTAAATGCGTTTAACAAATCAATGCTAATCCATTTTTGTGGCAGGTGGCACGTCGCTGGGGGATTCAGAAAAATAGGCCAGCTATGAACTATGATAAACTCAGCCGATCGCTTCGCTATTATTATGAAAAGGGAATCATGCAAAAGGTGAGTAGCTAATTTTGTATTACATTTCACCAGAGTCTTGCATGTTAATCCATAACTTGTTGCATTATGTAGTTTTTTCATCCATTTAGGCAAACACTAAGCTTTTTTCACCTACCAGGTCCAGCATATGCTTTAAGATATTTTTTTTTCTATGTAAAAAGTGTCTGTGGTTTTAGTTCTCACAATGCATGTCATGATTATAGGGAAAGAGGTAACATTCAAAAATATCCAAAAGAGCTTCCTGACAGCTGGGAAAGGCAAATAGTAGAGTACAGTGTGATTAATTATTTGCGGATCTGAATTAGCTACCCAGTGCTTGGATACTTCAGTAAGTGTAAGATAGGGGAGAAAACTTACACCTATTAACATACAAAATACTTTAATATTTTTACCAGTAGTGTTGTAATAATTCTGTTTTTAATTGAAATTGAATATTTTAATAGACTGAATTAGGAAAAATATTCAACAACAATTTTTATATTACAGTCTGGTCTTGCTGACAGTATTCAATCCATTCTTCTACTGTGGCTTGCTGATTTACTTGTATATTTTTAAATCTTGCTATGTAGTGCTATGTAGATTGACTTGGAAATCAATAGGAGAGACCTGTCTGCTTTATCTACAAAATTGGCAGGTGTGATCAAAGATCATAATGAACACCTTGTGCCATAGTACTTATTCCATGTCTTTTCACATTAGTTTTTTGACCTGTGATGATTAACATGTTTAAACCTGCCATTTACCAATTCCATGAATGGAAACAATGCTGTCAGCTCAAGTTACTCTGGGCAGCTTTTCCAGTAGGTTTTGTGAAGTCTAACAAGTTCTCTTGCTTAGATTGTGGGATTGTTGTAGTGCACTCTTTTTTCACTATCCGGGAGTCAACTTGGACAACAATCTGGGCTAGTATTGTCTTATGGTTCTTCAGTAGCACAGCACCTTATTCATTTTTGTGTCATGTAACTATACATTGAATCTTTGTAAAGTGAACTGGAAACCGGGTCCGGTCAGAGAGAAGCAGAAATGCTTAAGCTTGCTGGCTGGTGCTTCAGACAGAGAAGTTCCTTGTTGCAGGTTACAGCTCAGCTGCATTAGGCGAGTGTGCTGCCAGCACAGTTCAAAGGCAGCAGAGAGGCAAGAAAAAGCAGAGAGTGAAGCAAGCTGAAAAGGTGGGGTTCGAAATACCAGAAGGCTGATAATGCTGCCCCAACCCACACATCCATTTAATATGGAAAGTTTACAAGTACTTCTGATAGGTAGCTTGCTACCTCTTAAGCTACTACTTTATTAGCTGGAAGAACATATTTAACACACAAATTGAAAGCTAGCTTGTGTGCTTATTTTTCTGACATAGCAGTGTTTGAGGCTTGTCCTAGGATTGATCTATCTCGCCAGTTCGTGTATGTTAAAACTAATGGGGATTGCAGATTCATAGCAGGTTTCTTTACTGCAAAGTTTGTATACGTGCTTTCCCTCCTGTGTTTTAAATTAAGCAATGATAGCAGGTTATGCAAAAGCCTAATTTCTGAATGCAGCCTATAGTTTGTCAAAGTTCATGTAAAAAATTCTACTGCAGATATAGCCTCCATCAAATTCTATTTGTAGAATAAATAAGCTGAAAATTTAAGGAGGTGCTTGAAACTATTTTGTACTCATAAGAATAGAGTTGTTAAGTTTGTGACACTTCTTCCGTCTTCATTCACTCACTTCAGTGCCATGGTAGCTGAAGTTGCAAGAAGCTGGCAATATGATCTTTATTTTTAAATAATTTTAATAAATTGTGAGCATACATAATGGTTCATATTTTTAAGCACAATTTTTAAAATAAGGTGCTTTAGAAGACACTGTATTGACTTCTGTTTGTTGTTTGGGTTTTTTAATAAGACAACAAATCGGTGTTGTTTTTATTATTCTTTAACTTTTAGGAAATTGAAACACAGACATTTGATTAAGGGAAAACTTTAGGATCTTTGGACAAATTGCCCCTCCATAAGCAAATCTAAATGTCCCAGCTTTGCATGAGCAATTGCTAAGTACATATTAACCTACGTATTTGCTTACGCTGTGCCTGTGCAATCAGCATCCACCATAACTAGAGTGCTTTTGTACGTAAATATGAATCAATCTGTGTAAAGTGAAATCCAGATCTCTGTCGTGCAATGTGATTCTTTTTTCCACTTCGCACACAGAGTGTGTAATTTTATTTTGCCACTGTAGTGACAATTTGTTTACATTTTCCAGTAAGAACAGTTCCATTTGTGGTTAAGTGTAGGAAATGATTGCAAACAAATGTTTAGTGTAGAATACCTAGTCCATCTTCCAACAGGATGTGACATGTGGCAAAATCAGGATCATTCCGCACAATCTGCTTTGGCGGGTCCCTCTTGTCTTTGCTAGGTCATTGCCTAATGAGTTCTGCTGTCACGTTATTAATTGTGTAACAAAGGTGAGTTCTTCACAAGACTGTTGAACTTGGAGTTGCAAAACACAAGGCCTTACTCTACACCTTTTTTCACCCTTCTGTTGTCTTAAGGTGGCTGGAGAAAGATACGTCTACAAGTTTGTTTGCGACCCTGAAGCGCTTTTCTCCATGGCTTTTCCGGACAACCAGCGCCCCTTACTGAAGACTGACATGGAGCGCCACATCAATGAGGAGGACACTGTGCCTCTGTCCCACTTTGATGAGAGCATGGTCTACATGCAGGATGGTGGCTGCTGCAACACCCACCCCTACAACGAAGGCTATGTCTATTAACAGCAGTGACAGTGAAGGGGATGTTTTCCCCCTCCCTTAAGCTTCTCCTCTTTCACAAGACCCAGAGGAAAGCTGAATCGACTTCAGTTTGTTTTTTAAATAGTACACTAAAAGGGGCTTTTCCTGTTGCATTACTCCTATGGTCTGCCATGGACAGCGCACTTTATTTGAAAGGGGTGGGTTGGAACCTAAACGTTATTCTGTGTAAAAGGAGGAAAAGGGTGGGTTTGCTTTTTACTTAAGTTTGGGAAGGGAACATACAGGTTTTAAGTACAAAAAAAGCTATATCATGTCTGTTTTGTTTCATATCAGCATAAGATATTGTACATTTTCTCTGGGTATCCATAGTACAGTTAATTCTCATTGTGCAAAATAACCACTTTATGATGATATCAGCACAGCATGCCTAGGGCATTTGTTTCTTGCCATTCTTAATTGTCTTTCTGCAGTAATAAAAAAGAAGCAAAGCATATACTACAGCATTTAATTTCAAAGCTTCCAGTGGCAGATCTTGTACCTTGCCTCTGAGAATAACCAGATATCTGAAAAGTTTTTCCTATTTTTTTTTTCTTTTTTTTTGGGGGGGGGGGGTGATATGGCCTCAAAATAAAATCATAGTTAGTGACAGAGGGGCCATAAGTATAGTCACCAAGCCGCAAAATCCCTGACTTCAGACTGCAAGCTGCATGCTGTATCTGGTGCCACATTGCTATACATATATGGCCCATTCTATGGCTCAGATTTTTCAAGATCCATTTGAGGGTAGTAATTACATGTGGTAGGCTTTCTGATGATCATGTCAGCATTAAATACAGGTTCATGATCAGGAGGGAGAAAACATTTTGTATCCTTCCATTTCCTTTGGTACATAAATAAGTTATTTAATCAATAGGAATTAACTGTACTAAGTCACATATCTAATTATGCTGTTTAGACACAGCAGGCACTCCTTGAGAAAAATATCCAATACACTAAATAGGTACTTTAGTAAATTTTTAGACACGGTACCCATTAATATGCATTTAAACCTTTTACTGCTGTGTTATGTTGATAACATATATAAATACTAGATAATGCTAATGCTTCTGCTGCTGTCTTTTTCTGTAATATTCTCTTTGATGCTGAATTTACTATGACCATTTATAAGCAATGCTGTAACTACAGGTAGCATTTCAGGACAAAATAGATGACTTGAACCATTTATTGCTTAGAAAATAGCTTACACCATAGCTGTGCTGTAAGCAGCTTTTATGCGCATCCACAAATGACTAGTAAGCTTCAGCTTGCTAAGGAAAGCTCTGCAGAACCTTTTGTAATTTTTGGTGGAACGGAGACGAACTGTCAAAGAATACCATGAAGTTGCTGTATGACGTTGTAGTGCTGGCACTGGTGTTACCAATCAGCTTGTTTGGACACTAAATGTAAATGTGATCAGATATGCCCAGAAGACAATTTAAATTTTGAGGGTTTTTTTGTTGTTTTGTTAATTTTTTTCAAATTGATTTATTTTTTTGAGAGGGGTAATCTTGAACACAAGCCACACCTGCTATTCTGTATGTAAAACAAACAAAAAAAAGGCCCTGACAGAATCCCAAAAGTTTTAAATATTTATGAGCACCTTTTTTGAAATACAATAATTTGTAGTTTGAAGAGAGGGAGAGGGGGTAAGATGTGGATTTCTTTTTTTGCCCAGTGAAATTTAAATAGGTGTTACATGAAGTACCTCATTTTCCTATATTGTCAAGAGGTGAGAGAAAAATGAATACATAACCATAAAAAAACAAGAATAATTTTCATCGTAATGGATGGATTTCAAAGACAATCCTAGGTGGTGGGTTAATCTTCTATCCTTTGTCAGTTTAGACACTACCTAAGTTATGAATATTTTAATATGAAGTTAATCAAAAGTAAAGAAGCAGTGGTCACTAGAAACCACAGGTGCATAAAAAGCATTTGGGCAGGTATTTAATTTACTCAGATCCGTAAGACAACATATTTTATGAGAGTGTATATATGCCTTAGTATGTCACCTAATTCTGTCATCCGTAAGTCTCAATGGCACTTAAATACTTGGTGATCAACCCAGAAAAAGAAGTCTAAAGTTGCAGAACTAGCAAAAAGCAAGGGGAAAAGGTTGGATAATATTGTTTAAAAAAATTGTGGTTTCCACTGAAATAAGGTTCAAATGAAACATGCTTTGATGAAAAGTCCTTGGATTGGTTTTGCTTCTTTAATGTCAGCACGGAGCGCCTCTTGCCTGTGGCAGGATGGGGGTATTTGGGAAAGGGGTTGGACAAAAAAGGAAAAAAAAAGATTTAAAAATGCATCAAATGTGTAATATTTAAGAAGAAATATATATATTTATCTGTATATGGTAGTGACTCACTGAACAAAACAAGCAGTCAGACCAACATTACATAATTTCTGAGCAGAAGATAAGAAAGTCTTTCACTGAACTGATTAACCCTTTTTAAAATGTACCTAAGAGGTTTATTTAAAGTCTATTTTTATTCCACTTTTTTGTTTGTTTGGGGTTGGGTTTGGGGTTTTTTTTGTTTGTTTTGTTTGTTTGGGGTTTTCAGGTAGAATAATAAATCTGGCAGCTGATTTCTGCAAGATTGTTGTGTATTGGATTCCTAAACATTTGGACTGGAGAGGCCCCTGCAGTAAGGTTATTCTTTTGGAAGGGGAGAGGAAGGTCTTTTCCCAGTGCCTAGAATAGCTTCCTGCAAAGTGTAACTCAAAAAAAAACATACAAAAAAGCACTTTTTTTCAAGCTGTGCCACAAGTGGAAGGAAAATGAAGGTTTTACCTCATTAGTAGGAGCTGTGAGTATCTGCTTGTGTATCTTCTTGCTGGCCAGAGCAGCTGGGCAGCCCGGAGTAATGGTACTGTGAAGCAAAGTCAGGAGGCATCACTGCAAGACCCACGCGCTGTGATACAGCCAAAGGGGCTCAGGTTTCATCTGCCATGACAGTTCACTTGCATCCGTAGCTGAACAGAGATGAAATTAGATAAGGGCTTGGCAGATCCCCTCAGAATCCATTTGAGAGAGTTAAGATTACAGATTTAGGACAATGTACAAATTTTGCTTCAGGGATATGACTTCCATGACAAAAAGCCTAAGCCTTTTCTCTCCAAGGTTACACCAGTCTAACTTTCTCACACACCAGCTACAGTATAAACCTTAATATTACATTCACTGTAAGTGCACATTTCATATCTGTGTCAGACCAGATCTGCTTACTTTACTTACAGTGGGCTGCTGTAAGGGAGAAACTAGGAGAAACTGGGATACAAGAACATAAACCATTGTTTTCTCCAGAAATTCCCTGTGAAGAGCTCTTTGCTCAGAATCTTTTTGTCTTCAGAGTTCTCTGCTACCTGGGACTATTCCCCAGGGATCAGTGCCTAGAGTTTTATTGCCCTTGACAGCTGACTGGTTTGGGCTTCAGATCCATCTTCACAGGACAGTATCATCTCTAGTAAATATTTTTGCCTTCTTTGTGGTTTTTTTGTTTGGTTGGTTTTTAATAGCAGGAAATAGATCAATGTGTACAAAATGTATTATGAGGAAATCTTTGAATTGTTAATGGCTGCACTTTCTCCTCTAAAGAGCATTAGCTTCAGTTCATGTACTGTAGGTAATAGCACCCATAAACAGCCCTATTCAGTGCTCACATTAATAGTACTGAGGACTTTCCTAAGTAGTCTCCTTCAAAGATGTTTTGGGAGTATTAATTAATATAGTATCTTATACTCTAAGAATCATCACTCTGAAATACCTCACTTGGATCTAGCAGTAAGAGTGTAGGAAATTAATTTCTCGGTCCTCTTTGGTTGTTATTTTAGGGTTTTTCTGTTGTGTGGGTTTTTGGGGTTTTTTTGGTTGTTTTTACTTTTTGGGGGTTTTTTTGGTTGGTTGGATTTGTTGTTTGTTGTTGCTGCTGTGGTTGTTTTGGTTTGGTTTTAAGTCAGAAGCTACTCTGCATGGAAGGGAGGTAGCAGCTGGGAGCAGGCACCTGTGTCTCAGGAACTCTGGTTCCAAGTCCACTGCATTTTGCTAAGATACCAGGCTGAGAACTGGAGCATCTACAGTACAGAACTGAGCCCTGCCCTCCTTGTACTCTTACAGAACAGGGAACTACAGTGCATTGTCTTACGTTACTTCTGCTACAAGAACAGTAATCTCTGGCAGAACAGCAGGATGGAAAGCTAGGGGCAGTAGCATTAAAAAACTACAAGATTACCCAGATCTGTCTGTCTGATGCCTAAGATTCAGAAATACATCAGCAAAGTGCTGTCCCTTACCACCCAGCTTTTATGATTGTATAGGTAGGTAAAGTTAATTTCATCTTTTGCTTCAGGAGGTTGAAATATTGGTTTCCCCCTTGAACACCAATTTAATTTCTGTGGGAAAGAAATATCTGTGCCGTCTTCTTATGTAATAGTCTGAAAATGTCTGTGAAGTGTATTGTTGACATTTTCCCCAAGAACTATTTTTGTGTGGACATGACACAAAAAACATCAGGAAAAGAAAGGTAAATAAACTTAAAGAAGTTATCCATACATCAAGTTCTCCAAAACTATAGCCTTATTTACCCTAGAAATATGTCATGTCTTTAATACTTCTGTATTATCCTTATTACATAGTTTCATTGGACTGACCTCAAAAATACTCAATATACCCTGAAGTTTTGGGGTTTTTTAAATGAGCTTCCTGCTGTTAATAGAGGTTACAGGAAGGGACCTCTGAGGAAGAGTCACAATCAAACGTTTGGATCTGGTAAGCCATAATTCTGCCATGGCTCTTGCAAAGCTCTATGGGCACTTATACCCATGTCTGTGCTTTTTAGTTGTATGGTAGAGAGGTAATTGTTTGTTTGGGTTTTTTTGGTAGTTTCTGAGTAACTACAGTTTGCTTTGTTTCAGAAGGAATGTCTATGTGTATTTCTTTCCACACTCCAGATAACCAGGTAGATAGTTGGTGTCCAAAATAGCATTTCTGCTGTGTAATTCACAGTAGAGGCTGTAGTAGTTCCTTGCTGTTGCCCTAAAAAGGAAAGAGTTGAGGAGATTTCACAGTTTTGTCCCCCCCCTTCAGTGATGGGACCCAGCTGATCTATCTGAAGATAGTTTAAGCCTATTCTTTGCTCACCTATGATATTTTAGTGAACAGTCTGATTGTTAGTACAGTGGCACTTCACAGAAGGTCAGATATAGAGTGTTGAGTGTTTTAGATGCACTGCAAAGGGCTCTCTATGGTGGCTTTCAGTTAAAACCTTGCATGGGCAGTGCCATATTGTTACACGACCTAAATAAAGGCAGAAGGGGATGTTTTTGCAGAGGCATCAGCTCCTCAGAGCTTGAGATGTTTGCTGAATGCAGTTAAGGCTGCTGCCTGGCCAGCTAGGGTGAGTCTGCCTTGAAAGATCTGTCGATGAGCTGTACATGTAGAAAGCCAGAGAGAGCAAGATCCCGGCATGGCTGAGTGAGGCAGCATAGAGATGGGATAAAGTCTGTTAGGGGCAATCTGGCTCTACCAACTAGCTAATCCAGAGCTGATTAGTACAGGAAGAAGGAGGTTATATGACTGATACAGTAAATCGCAGAGATAATTATTTGAAAGACATGCTGCAGGAGAATCATAAGAAATGATGGAAAGCAATAAACTCTGTAAACAGCAGTGATTTTTTAAGACCCCGGTGCTTGTGGGAGTGCTTCAGGAAAAGGAAGAGAAAGTAAAACACCGAAAAGGATGATAATATTAGATGAGAACAACAGGACTAAAACCATGAACTGCATTAGGGGACTTGGAAGATTGCAGTGTTTTAGATAAAAGGAAGGGACTAAGATAAGTACAGAGGCAGTAAACTGAGATAAGAGCAAGAGAGAGAAGGTAATTGGAGGCAGTGCACTTTGTGGTCAGTGGGCCAAATGTGTTAGGCTAACAGAGTTGTACTGGGGATGTGTTTGGCCCTGGTAGTATATCCCCAAGGACAGGAATATCAGTTCTGACTTTGGCATGATTGTTGATAATTTAGTAAAACCATCTGCACAGTGTTTGGTAGCTGTTAAAAGAGCAGGCAATATATTGGAATATGCAGAGAGAGTTTTGGGCTGTAAATGTAGTGTCTCTATCATCCCACTATACTAAAAAAAACCCCAAGAACAACCACAAACACAAAAGAAAAAATACCTTACAGGATAATGGAGCAGATTGTTGGTATAGCTCAGCTTGGTTTCCTTGAAATCAGCTATGTAACTTTACACTAAAAGAGACTATGGCCTGTATTTGGTAATGTGTATGCCTATCTAGCATAGTATACACACAGGACATTTTTACATGTTGCGTTATTCAGAAAGATATACAAATGATCAAGATCTGGGGCATAGCATGAGACCAATTAAAAAAAAAGATGTTAAACAAATATATATGTCTTCTGAATTGTGCTGATGTAGACAACTCATTCCATTTTTATATAAAGCTCTCCACTGGAGCTCTATACACACCTCTAATCCTTGCAATTAACTTTTTTAACCCATGCTGGCAGACTCTGTGTGCTGTAGTCCCTGCTACAAGTGGCTCAGCACTAGTCTCTAAAAGGTGTCTGGAACCTGTAGGGTCAGGCTGCCTGCCCAGCTGGTCACAAAGATCATGTGAAAATTTACAAGTCTTAAGGAGTGTACTAAGCTATTCTCTAATAGCAAATTCTCTATAATAGCAAAAATCAGTTATACTGCAGATTTAGCCACAAAGGCTAGACTTGCAAAGGAATTTCAACCACTGTTATGCTCCATCTTACAAGGCTATGTGATCCCAGCTGTAAATATTTAGGGTATCTAAGGGCCTCCACAAAATCTTTCAAAAGCCACTCAGCTGAATTAGAGCTTCTCTGCTTCCTGCAGGAATCAAATGTGGGAGAGACAAAATCAGTGAAGACCTAGATTTTCATCTGCAGAGAAATAGAATGAAGAACACATCTGTACTACTATTTTAGAGTTTCAGCGTTACATTGCAGGAGGGAGTTCATAGGAGTTGAGGCAGCCAAACATTTCCTTGAAGCCTGGAATAGATGCCTACACCCCGGAAAGGACTTAGTTTTATGTTAGTTTTATGCAATTGCATACGTGTGCCTGCTTGGCTTTCAAGTTTTCATGAATTTGGTTTTTGGTGTTTAACTCTTCCTAATACTTAAGGGAATGTTCTGCTCAGCAACAAGTTATCTTTCAGGCAATCTAGTGGTCTACTTTATTGTACATAAAATTTCTTTGTAAATCTGGCCTTAATGACTTAAAAAGCACCACCACATAAGGAAAGGTCAATGCCTGCAACTGTGCAATCCATGAAACTCAGTAGTTGTCATGATCATGATCTAGCCTTGGGTAAGTGACATAGCTTGGCTGTGGAAAAAACAGTCCTTGAACTTCAGCTTATTAATGCTTTATGCCAGCTAAAGCTGCTCCACATGTCTTGTAACCTTCTCTTGTCACTCTGACCACTTCCACAGTTCTGATCCCCACATCTAAGGTTATGGGAGACCTAGAAAGATACTGTGAGGCATCATAAGAATAATTAAGGCTTACTAATGTCTTAAAATTATTCAGCTTGGGACAGAGGAGGGAATAACATCACAAATTGTTTGGAGAGGAAAAATAAGGAATTAAAATCTACTGTCTCATAACAAGAATTTACTGGGGGTCAGTAAGAAAAAAAGTCTGAGCAGTTTAAAGAACACTAAGGAAGTACTTTATCACATAGCACAATCATTAGTTTGTGAAATTTATTGGTGGCAGCTATTTTTGGTGACACAAGCCTTAAAAAAAAAAAAAGAAAAATTGCTGAGACAAATCCCTGGAAACAATAGCCAACAATCATTCTCAACTATGATGATGAAATTGAGCTTTCCAAATCGGGAAGTCCCTAACACAGGGACTGTCAAACTTCCAGAGGACATGCCAGAGTCATCCTCTTCCCATCCTCTCTTTCTAAACACTGACACTGGTCTAGTATTTGAAATGAAGGCACAAAGTTCTGGTGGCACAAGGTACTACCTGTATCCTGCATTTTGTTTGGGTCCTCTCATAGAACTAAAAATGAGGTAACACAACACGCTTAAGCAGTATGGGGTTTTTTTACACTACATTGCAAAGATTTGTGCGTAATTACTAAACTACTGACATTGGGGATGGAGTTATTTTTAAAGGGAGAAGAGAAACATTGCTGCATTTATGTTTAGCTGGGAACTGTATGTCCTTCAAAAAAAAAAAGAAATGAAAGAAACTAGCAAGGATAAAATTTGACCAATTGGTGAGTAATACTCACTTTATATCCCTACCACTAACATCTAACATTTCACCATAATGTTTGCTCTCTGTGTGACATTCTTGCATATAGGAAACCAAGGCTATATAGTAACATATAGGGTTGAAGTAGGGCTAGAAAGTTATAACTCCCCAAAGTAAGGAAAGAGAGAAAACACACTAATGAATGTCTTTCCACTACCATATTGCCTCTAACTTTATCAATAACATGTTCTATAATGCTCTAAGTTCCATCCTCAACAGATAACATTAAGCAGTACATATCCTAATTTCATCAGACTTGGGCTCTTCCTTAAAACCTTAGGTGACTTCATGCATTTATATCAATTGTATCAACAGACCAGTCCATCTGACTCTCTGAAAGCAGGATCCAAGCAGAGAGATTTCTCATGACAAGATAGTTTGGATTTTGATAGTATGGTTATGACAAACACAGACATCAAGAGACACAAATCTCTCACGTAAAATAATAGAAAAAACTCTGGAAATACTGTGTATGTGATGTCTTCAGTTAGTAATATTTTTGGAAGACAAAAGGCAGTTTTATTTGTCTGATTTGTGTTACTTGGGAGTGACCATGTGCATAAACTATAATGGGAAGTCAGTATATCTGAAAATTTATATAAGAGGATTTATCCAGAGAAGCATGACCTGCTGACTCATTGTTCCAAAGTGGTATCAGTTTAAAATATCAGTGCCAATGTGAGCTGAATTCTCATACAAGCCCTAAATGGGACAGATAGTAGCTGCATACATTGGGAGGACAGACTGGCATATATAGCTGTAACCAGTAGAAAAGAGCAAAGAATCCTGAGACTATTAGGCATAAGAAAATAAGATTAAACCTCTCGGTCTTGCTGCAAATTGGGAACTGCAAGCTGTAAATTGTAATTCTTGAGAAGTGAAAATCAGCTTGGAATGGCTTCCTCAGAGGCTTTTCATTCCGGGGCATTAGATGAGTTCAGCTTCTGTTGGACTGCACAGCCAAGATCTCTCTTCTATTTGTAGAAGTAAGTCAAGCCAATGAATTTTTGCACTACATGAAGAGGTTTCAAATTTGCTAAGAAAAAGCCCATCTGGAACTTTCAACCAGATGTGTTGAAAAAGTCATCACGTCAGAAAATGAACCTCTCTCTTGATAAGATAAAAAAAAGATAATCAATACATGGACAGCAACATTGTTGATAAAGAAAAGGGCCCAGAAAGGCCTATAGGCATAGGAAAAAGGACACCAAGAAAAGCAAGCCAGTCCAGTGTCTCAGGTTTTTAGTGTTTAGATGGGCATAGGGTAGCTTCCTTTTTTGCCTGACGCTGCCTTATGAGGGGAAAAATAAGCTTCCTGTTTAAAATTCAATAGCTATCAAAATTCCTAGTCTTTTTCTTTGTTCTTGTTGTTGAAAGGTGAAATCAGATTTAAAGCTGAAACCTGTAACCCACTGTTCGCTGAATACAGTTGTTGCTTTGTCCTAATTATAGAATAATCATGGAGCAATGTGGTATGAAGTTTTTATTGACATGGATATGAAGGAGTTGTATTACTATGCCTGATCTGCTTGTTGTTTCCATGCTGTTTATTTCTGGAGGCAGAAGTACATTTTACAGCTTCCCCCTTCCCCAAATAAAAAAGGCTTTTATAGCAACAATCCCAAGCACCTTTTTTTTTCTTTTTTTTTCCTCTGAGCCTCATATGCTGAAGAAAAAAAAGAAAAAAAAAGGAGAAAGAAAACTGTTCTTCAACTGTTTAGAAATTTTTAAATTGTGGCACAGGTTTCCTTGTTTTTCTGCATATGAAGTTAATGACTGTGATAGAAAGTCTCAAGTCCTGACAAAAAATTTGAAAGTAAGGGCAAAGTAGAGCATCTTAGAGAACTAACACAGATGTGTTAGCTAATATTTGTGTACTCATGCACATATTCAAACTGCTTCTTTCAATAAAAGTTGATTATTTCAGATGTTTATAATATAGAATTGATGGCTTCTATCTTACCTAAACGTCAGATTTTTTGAGAAAAGGAGGGAAAATTTATGAGAAAAGAAAGGAAGAATAACTTTTTCAGAGTGTTGGAATGTGAGATCGCCCAATGGTGCAGGAAGAAGAAATTTAAAAATGCATGGATAATTACAGTTGACATATAGCTTTGTGATTTACTACATGGATACTATTCACGTACATAGACTCTATAGGCACTTTATATAATAGCCATGTAATTAATGTATACATTATTAATATATAAGTGCTTCTATTAAGAGATGTCATTAATGATTCTGCCATCCTGAAACTGTAAGATGCAACTTAGTGTGATCCCCCTAAGACATTTATTCTGGTCTGTCAGAATTAGACAAAAAAACTGGACTAAATTCTTCCCAGTACACAAAATCTTGTAATGCCAGTCTCAGTGCCCTGGATAGGGAGCACAAAGGCCATTTTTTGTGAGAAGTGGATCAAAGAGGACTTAAAATATACTCAGGACATAAAACATATTCCGATCTCTAGGAACAGAGTAGAGGAAGAACTTCACTGATATATAATATATTCAAAATAAAAAATATAAAACTTTTTGTTTCTCCTTTGTCCAGTTTCAAAATACACGTGGAAATGATAAAGGGACTGAGGAGCAGTTCTGAGAGGAAGAACATTTACAGATTCCCATTACTGCCATAAGACAATCCATTTATTTGCTGCGAGTTTCTGTATAACAATAGAAAAATGTTCAGCTTCCCCTGACAATTGTAAAACAGAACATCTTCACAAGACTTCAAGAATAATTAGTGAGCTGAAGGTTAAGTATAATAATTACAGCTGGTAGCAGGGACTTTAGGATTGCAAATATAATCAGCCCTGTCAAAATAAGTTAAAGAGAAGAATATTTAGTCTTGATGTTTTAATATACA